TGCTCACCTGGGAGAAACTGTCCCAAACTTCACTCACTGAGTAGCTGCTTTTCACCAGGTACACCTAGCTATTAAACTGGTCCGTAAGAAGAAACATCTGTAAGAAGAACACGTCTCTCCATGGGGGCTGGGCTCACGGAGGCGGCAGGCCTGATCTATGCAAGAACTGAGTGGGGAGATGGCCCAATGAGGCAGGTGCAGATGGACCATGCACTGGCTTCATTCCCAGGAAAGGGGATAGAGCTGGGACACATATGGGGTGGGAGTGGGTGGAGGTCAACAGGCAGGGGAAGGCAGCAGGACGCAACTATCCCCCGTGCTCAGAGATCCTCCAGGACCCTCTCCAGAACATCCTGGGCTGTGGGTCCATCACCTGGGCACCACTCTAGCTCTGCCTCCCCTATATCCCCCTTCTTGCTAATTCCCACAGGGGAGGACCACCCGCAGCACACAGGGATGTACAAAACAGTGAATGTGTTTTTATTTTGCTGCTGCTGGAGTGAAACCACTGTAATTTCAGAAAACTCAAAATAAAAGTACTAAAAGGCATACATTTTTTTTCCTTTAACACAAAACATAAGTAAACAGACAATTTTCTTTTTTAAAAAGGATATAAAGTGTCAAGATACTATACCTCATCTGCATATTCAAAGTGATGCTGTCTGATACAAAAAAAGCATTGGAAATAATAATTTAGCTATGGCTCAGACCAAAAAGAAAAAAAAAAACAAAAAAGAAAAAAAACATCCCCAGTCATCTGGGCTTAATCTACATGCTACTATGGTTGCCTGTGGAGTTAAAAAGGAAAATATGCAGTTCTTTGTTGAACAGAAAGAAACAGCAGGGAAGTCAAGATTTTTATGGGAGATTATGGTTGGAAGGAAAGCAGAATGTGTTGAAAAACGCCCCCTCCCCTGGAATGTCTGCTGGAGCCTATGAGCGTGACTGTGACCAGCCTGGGACCCTGCACTGTGCAAAGAAATCAGGCATATTTTTCTCCCACCAGATGGTATCCCACCAAAATCCCACCGCCGAACTGCACCTTCCCAGCCCATTGGAAGCCAGTGAGATACAAGAACTTGGAAACTGCATGTTGGTCATGAATCTCCCCATGTGCTTCCCCACTGGAACTAATAAAAAAACAAACAAACCCAAGAAAAATAATATACATAAAAGCGACTCTATTAGAGCAAGACTGTTTGCATCCTTGGAAAATCTGTTATCCATAAACCTCATCCCAAGCTTTCAGCCCAAGCAGCACAGTGTCAGCCTTATTGCAAGACCCATAATATAATTTTGCAAAAGCAAAGTCCTTCAACTTGTGTAGCCAAAACTTTGTTAAAATTAAGAGCTGGCCATTTGCAACAGACCTCTTTCCAACTGCTGCTCCCACCATGTGCTGTGTTCAACTGGAAAATATGGAGAATGGAGGGGAAACACAAACATGGTCACCAAAATGATACAAGTAGGAAGAAACATCTATAGATTCCAGGTGACGCTCATCACCTGCACAAGGTTCAACTGTGATTTGCTTCCTTGACAAACCCTGCAAAACCCTATAAAGCTCTTGTTTGGAGGAATAGTTCATTTCTGCCTTGCCATCCCTCACATTTGTAAGGGATGCGCGCTACAATTTGGAGCTCTGTCCCTGCAAATTTGTGAAAGATGCAGGATTTTCATTGAAGGGGTGAGGGATGTGGCTATGGGTGAGGAGTGATGCAACTCAGATAAAACCTTGGCTTCTTCTGGTGCAGGCAGGAAAAGGTGGTTTGTCTGTAGTAAAGCCATGGGGTGTCAGTTCCCTGGTTTTCCTGGAAGAGTCAATGGAGAGAATTGGAGGAATTACTGAATCGGCAGGTATGTCACATTATTAAGGCAATGATCTCTCCTTTCAACATGTCTTGGCATCTGAGGCAAGATAGGGATTAACATATACGTACAGAGATCTGATAACCAGCCCATACATGAAGGCCCTGATTGCTCAGGCCTCTGTGTCTACAGTGCTGCCAGGCTCCTACTTCTCCTGCTATCCTGAGACTTTTGTGAAGAAACAGAGCTCATTGGGATTTCTAATTCAAAACTCAGTTGGAAAAAACAAGCAAACGAACGAAAAACCTAATGCAGCTTTTTGTGTTTCCTCTAATAGTTTCTGGGCTCAAACCCTGCAAAGTTGGCCCCTCAGAGGTAGGAACTCAAGTCCATATCAACAAAATCCGAGTACTCGAGAGCCTAAATTGGAAAAAAAAAAAAAGAGGACAAGCTATTCATCTGAGAGACCCACCTGCAGGTGCCTCTGCATGAGGCTCTTTACAGGCTTGTTGGGGGAAATACAGAAGCTGCGAAGATGTGAGACTCATGGCCTTCCCACCCCATCCTTGGAGCAGGTTCAAATTCCATGTGCAAGAAGGGCTGCAATGAGCCCCTGCAAATACAGCTCCCTCATGGGACTGAAATCACAGGGTTGCTCATGAAGCTGAGCCAGGTGGAAGGAAAAGAGGACATGACAGGGAAGGAACATCAGGAATGAAAGTGTATCAACATTTTGGGGAGACATTAGCTTCATCTGCATTACCTCAGGATCCTGCTGCCCATTTACTGCCCATTCCTTTTTCATATGCTGAGAGGCCAGTTTGCTCTCAAGCAGAGATTTCTAGGCATACAAAGCAATGGTTCCCACCGCCAGCAGCTTCAAACCCTCTGCAAGTCAAGGTACTGCTTCTAATGACCGGGGAGCACATGAGATACACTAGGTTTCCCTGGCTGGCGCTCTCCCTTTGGCAATGCTGAGTGATCTCCAACCACTGTTGGAGATGGAGCAGCACCTAGAGCATCTCTTTTAGCAGCAGGAAGGGGATGGTGATGCGCCCAGTGTGACCGCTGTGCTCCCACTCGCAGTGCTGCACAGGATCAGCCCCTTCCCAACCAACGAAGACCCTCACATTGCTGACTTCTTTACCAATGGGATCTACCCAGCCTTCCTGGCAGATCCCATGAATCCTCTGAAGCCAGTGTTTCCAAGTGCCCGGCACTCCTGAAGGCACGCAAACTTGATGGAGTGACCCACTAGTGAAGGCACCTCAGTGTGGGCAGCCCAAACCCACAAGACGCTTGAGGACTATCCCCTCGCCTTCTGCATGCCCCAGTGCTTGTGATCCTCTGCAATGAGGGGTGAATGATGGGGGAGTCCACAGGATTCCCAGAGCATCCTTTGGCTCCTGAGCATGCCCTGATCCCACCTGCAAGCCTGTTTCAACCTTGCACTCTGTCTAGTGGGTCATCTCTCCCCTTCCCTTCTGGAGGTCCCTGCTGCCTGTCCACTGGATTCCCTAAACAGATGGGAGAAAGAAAAGCCAGAGGACATGTGGAAGACAAATAGTTTTTTTTTCTTTGTTTCCTTTAATTAGCAAATTTCTTCTCACCCTCATCAGAAGATAAACCTCTCCCAAACCCCCTACGTGCTCACCGCTCCAGCTGCTGAAAGCATTCAAAGGCAGAAGGTGGAGAGACATTTCATGTTCTGGCTCAGGTGCTGCTCTGCATCCCCCCCCAGAGCACAACCCGGGGGGCTCGGGGGTGGCGGGCGCTGACAGAGCAACACGCTGTGTTACTGATACCATGGGGGAGGGAAAGGCAGGTGCAAATTCAATGATGGGCTCTTGCTGGGTGCAAATTCCCCAAAAACACATCCCAGGGAGAACTAGAGCGCCAGCCCTGCGGGCAGCAAGCCCCAATACCAATGGTGGAGGACATGGATGTACCCAGAGATGCTCTGCACTTGCAGGGCATCATCAGCCAGAAGCTGGGTTTGCTCTGAGGTTCTCCATGCCTTCCCTGGGGACCAGATGGGAATCTAGGATACACACTGCTCGATCCCACAAAGACCTGCTGGACGCAACCCCAAGATGCAGGTGTTGGGGCTGAGGGCCGGGCAGGAGGTGGAGGAGAGGACAGGGATGCTCTCCTTTCACCTTAGGGTTGGGCAAACCATCCCAAACGAGACCTATCTCAGGCCCTGGCGAGCCAAAGCCCTGCAGCATTTGGCCCCAGGATTAGCTGGGACAGATGGTGCTGTGGGAGCTGCAGCTGGCCAGGGACTGTGATGGCTCTGCATCCCCCAGACAAGCAGCATACGGCTCCCAGCCCACTCCGAAAGGAGCCACGACATTGTGCATTGCATCTGGAAGCTATAAATAAGAAAACCCAGGCTTTGGGGACACAGTATTGCCCCACATCGCCCAGCAAAGACAGAGGCCTCCATGTCCCATCCTTGTCCCTCTCCTTCCCAGTGACCCTGGCTTCACTGCTACAGGGTACAGGGGAGCAAGTGCTCCAGATGGCTGTCCAGTCCAGGGAAGTGGTGTAGGGAGAAATGGGAGACAGGGAATGATGCTGGCAGGACTCAGTCTCGGATTCATCAGCTGTCACCCTGTTGAAGCCTCTTTTGGTCCTCCCTGCATCATCCTCTTCCTCCCCTCATGCCACTGCACCATCCCATGGCTCTGACCCACAGTCCTAACTTGCGGCCAAGAGGTGGGTAGAGGGTTTGGCTGCCTTAGGATGCCCGGTCCCTCCTTGCATAGCACAGCCCTGGCCACGGTCCTACAGGACTCCTGGGACTGGGCATTTATCACCCCAAATCAAGCCCCGCAATGCCCAGGGAGAGCAGTGAGGAAACCATCTCTCCATGCCAGGGACATGCTCTTGGTGCAAAGGGCTCAGCTCCTGGTTCCTAGGGAGAGGAAAGGGAGGAGGAGGAGGAAGGAGGAGGGTGATGAAGAACCGCCACGTGAATTCACTGCCTGCTAAAGCCAAGAGTCAAGGGCAGTGCTGCCACCCCTCCTTGGGGCTGCGGTGGGTGGAGACAGCCTTTCTCGGGGGGGGAATTTGGCAAAAAGAGAGCCCCAGATCGGAGGACATGTCAGCGGTGCTCCATCAAGGCCCCTCCTGACCCTGCCCGTGCGCCTGGAGCGGGGCCCACAAGCAGGGTGGAAGGAGGGGCGCGTGGCTGAGGGGGATGTGTGCGAGTGCCTGTGTGTCTGTGCACGAATTTTGGCAAGAGGTCATTGAGGTTACATGATGCAGCATTTGTTCTTGTGGTTATGAGGGTCCTTAAATCGGAGTCTCTGCTTTGGTCGGTATTTTTCCAAGTACGTGAGCTGCTTGCTGTTGATGGCTCCTCGGCGCTTCCTGCAGAGACACAGAAGAGAGGAACCACTGTGGTGAGTCCTGCTGCCCTTGCACAGGAGAAGACCCCTGCAAACCCATCCGTGCTGCCCAGCTCAGTGCAGAAACCCATGGGAACTGCTAGCTGGAGCGACCCGATGATTTGGAGAGTGAGGATGCATGAGCTGGGCTGCAAGAGCCGCTGCAGAGCTTCACCCTTCTCTAAGCTGAGCCGAGCACAGACTGCTCCCACCAAAGCTCTCCCTGCACGCAGTCCTGCTGTCTGTGCCACTGCTCCATCCTCAAAGAAGGGGAGGGAGTGAAAAACCAGGCTGGCTGCAGACAGCCTGATTCCTTGATGCAGTTCACGGCGGGGGCAGGCGAGGACTCAAGGCAGCCCAGGGAGGAGCTGGGGACATGACATGAACGCAGCTGACCCCGGCAGCAGTGTCACGTCGCATCAGTGCGAAACGTGGGCGACGCGGCAAGGCTGCAGCTCCATCACCTTCTTTTTTTGTGCATTGCCTGGAGCAGCAACCCCCGGCACCAACGACCCTGCTGCTCCAAGGAGGCAAAGAAAATCTCCCAGTTGAGACGCTCTGGGAGATGATTAATAACTGACGGTGAGCGACATTGCTGTGTCCGCCCTGGCGGCACTACTTACTGTCGGATGAACTGGATGGCATCTTCGTACTTCATGCCACTCTCAATCAAGGCCAGGGCAACGAGGACAGGAGCGCTGGAAAGCAACGGAAGGCGGCAGCTGTAACGGGGTGTTTCATGCAAACATTTTATTTTGCAGCTTCTTATAATTTAGCTGTAAGAGCTGCCCCAAGCAGTAACTTTTTACAGCACTGAAGGGGATAAAACCCACAGAACAGAGCTGGTGCCCACTGGGTGGATGGACTTACCTGAGGAAGGAGCTACCTGTCACAGCCATTGTTGGCCAAAAGGACACGAGAAGGTCTATGACCATGTGGGAAGCCCTTAAAACGTCCCCAGTAACCTCAAGGGCAATGTCCCGGGCACCATGCTGTCCAGTGTCCATCCCAGCCCCATCACTGGCGGCACCTGGCCACCATCACGGCCTCTTCTTGCTAACATTGTTGCCTCCGGCCACACTGCATGCAATGCTCATACTAAAGGCAGGGATGGAGAGGGGCTGGCACTGGTGGCCCAGCTCTCACTCACCGGCCCAGGCCAGCCACGCAGTGAACGGCCACGCAGCAGCCGGGGTCTTCGCAGAACTTGGTCTTCAGCAAGTTGAGCCAGTCCTCCACGATCTTGCTCGGAGGAGGCGCTCCATCGTCGAATGGCCAGTCCTATGCATAGGAGAGAAACGAGAGTGTCACATGCAAGTCAGCCAGACCCCCACAGGCAAGCGGCAAAAAGCCCTGCTGATTTTTCGGATACAACAGAGTCAAGTTAGTGATTTGCCTCGGTGCAGAGCTGCTTTAAAAAAGAAAAAACATGTTCTTAAGGGGGAAAAAAAGCCCATTTCCAAAGAGCTCGATGGGGCCCGAGCCAAGCACTGTGCTTGCCAGCAATTACACTGCTCTGACAGCTGAGCCCTGGGGCAAAGCATCCAAGGAAAGAGCTGCCCGCAAAGTTTCCAATTTGGTACAGAACTTCCTGCACAACAAGCTTCAGTGAACCCGGTTACATCTCCGGGTGGCCAGAGCCCTGACAGAGGCGGCTTTCGGAGGCCAGTGACCCGGCGGGGACACTTGGTGGGGAAGGCAGCGCGGCGAAAAGCAGCCCCGGCGGGCAGAAAGCACGTGGCCGTAATCCTGGTGTTTAAGGAGTGAGTCACTAAGCTGCTGTGCCGAAGTCATCGCCGCCACAAGATGCTGCAAAAAGCCGCTAAGCTCTATTTTATTGCCGTTTTTTTGAGCAGGTAATGCAATTTCAATTGCCTGGGGCTTTGTAGGAAAATAGCATTAGGGAATGCTAATGCCTGAGTCACTCCATGCTACGGAGCAAGACCATCTCCTTCCCCAGCACAGGGAACACACGGGTTTAGCCGAGGACACAGGTCACCAGGGTCTGGTTTACTGGGCTCGCAATCGCACGGAGGATGACAAGTGCTCATCCCGCGCTGTAATGCAGCTGTGAAGTCCTGCTCCTGTGGGATTTCTGCCCTCATCCTTGATTTTGGAGAAGAGCTGCTGGAGGAGCAGAGCCTGGCACAATGGGGACATGATGGGGACGTGGTGGGATGGCGCCTGTGCAGAGCCCTGCGAGGTGCCAGCATCTCAGCTTGCTCTGCAGACATTCCCAGTGTGCTGGAAGGAACAGCTCCAACAGATTTTGCAGACAGAAAAGCAGTGGCTGAAAAAAGGAGCAGGTACTAAGGAGCAAACGGTGCCAGACGGGACCCAGCTGGGATGCCCGTGCCAGGCGAGACTCAGTAATCACTGCTTGAAATCCTACCCGGCATCAAAGCACACTGCAATTAAGCACTTACAGCTCACACCCCTCCGTGCTCACTGCAATTATGCTGTCTCTGATAATTATCGGCGGCTGCAAAGGCCACACGCGAGGCTCCACTTCTGTCACCGTGGCCTGAGCGCCGGGGAAGCGTGCTGGGCTCGCAGGGTTAGGAACTGCGGCGGGCTGCGCGCTCTGACTTCTCCCCACTGAGAAGGCACTTCTAAGCGCTGCCCCGTCATCAGACAGGATCATCTGGGCTGGCTGGAAAATGCAGTTTGAGCAGAACAAGATTTCTGCCTTCAGCCTCCTCAAACCAACAAGTTCCCTGAGCGATCTCTGTGCTGGCAGGACCTCAAAAGACATCCTGAAATCAGAGACAAGGCTCCCTTGGCAGCTGGGCAGGGGAAAAGTGAGGTTCGAGCCCGCTGGCAGGAACAGCTCAGCTCAGCAGAGAATGCCGGGACCTGCATTTCTGCAGCGTTCAGGCTCTCTCTGCAGTTCCAGAGCTTGCTGGAAGCGCCCTGTTTTCATCTGATTACTCATCATCTCCCACACGGGGCTGGCAAGCGGGCCCCACATCCCTGAGCACAGCCTGCGCCAGGGATGAGCAAGCTCCTGTGCGTGCCGAGCACGCCTGACATCATCTCCCATCACTTATCACTAAAGATACAGCCTCGGTACTTAAAAGCTTCCTTGTCTTCATTCTTCCCCCTATTCCTCACTCCCTTTGCTTTCCTAAAGCTGCACAGCGCCAAAGAGTGAGAAGAAAAAAGGAAAAAAGAGAAACAAAGCAGCACAGTTTATATACCCCCTGGATAAGATAATGCATAGGAATGACTCGCATCTTGCACGTGGGATCAGGCGCTCTCATACCCTGGATGCTTTAAAGCCGATAGGCAGAGCTGGCAGCACCTGCCAGTTCAGCTGCATGAGTCACAGTTTCGGCTGCGTGGGCAGCTCGTGCTTGGTTTGAAAGCCCCAGAGGAAATGCAGAGCCCGGCATCAGGATTTAGTGTTGGGAAGTGAGGCATGGCTGGGAAGCATGTGGGGCAAGTGTCAATGCTTCGAAAATGTGGGGAAAAAGCCTCAAAGCACAGTGAAGGTGACAGATACGGAGGAGGACCTCAAACCCTGTGATATCCATACCCTGGACCTCTCTGTGCAGTAGCAGCGGACAAAACCTTCCCATGCCTGTCTTGGATTTCAGGCCCTGGAGCTGTAATCGAAGCAACCACTGCTCTCAAAATAGCTCTTCCTGGCTGCCAAGCTCGACAGCAGCAGGAAGCCCACAGTTATGGAAAGGGCACAGTGGCTTGACCGCTGTTTTTACATAAATTTGACACTCTCGAGGTGACCCCCACCTGTCAGACAGGACAGTTTTTCCTTCCTGTGCTTCTCCGAGCTGTTCAGCTGGAAAAATGTCCCTTTTTGAGGATGGAGAATGTGGTGGAGGGAGAGAGCAACCCCCTCCAAGCTCCCCAGCACCGAATCTTTCCCTTTTTTTTGCCCCAGACCACATTAAAAAGACAAGCGAGATTGCGCCCACACTGAACTCTGCACGGACGCACTGCCATGCAACAAGTTGAGTCCTGGGCAGTTCTCAGCACCCTCCTTGCTGTCCTCCTCCCGGCAGCACCTAAGGGCGCCTACCCTGCCGCCCACCTACCATGACGGTGATGCCGTCCTTCTCCAAGGGTGTCTTGTCGTAGGTCACTTCGCACACCCGCACGACCGTGGTGGCCCCATACTTCTTCAGATCCTGGGCAGGGAGAGGAGAAGAGGGGTTATTTTGACCCCGTGAACATACTCCCCCAAAAAGAGCCATTTCAGTGAGTTTTTATGGATACTGTGGCATTTTTCTTGCAAGCCCAACCTCCCCACTCCTTACCTCCAAGAAGGTGCTGAGCGTGGCGTTGGTGGGGTTGTGGGTGATGAGGAAGCGCATGTTTTTGTAGCAGACCTCCACCGGCGCAGGACGGTTCATCCGGGCCATGGTGGGGAGCCGAGGAGGAAGAGACGGATGCAGAACAACAGTGGTGGTGGGGGAAAGCAAAAGAACAAAAAAAGGGGGAAAAATGCGTGCTCAGGAAAAAAAAAAAAGAAAAAAAGAAGGAAAAAAATAATAAAAAAGGAAAAAGCTCAGCGCTTAAAAAATGAAATTGAACTCAATATACAGATGTTGTGCAAATATTCCCAGCTCTCGGGAGCACGGTGGCTTTCTTGCCGTGCCGCAACTCCCCCCCGCCCCGGCAGACCCTGTGTTAAAAAGCCAGACAATAACAATAAAAATAACGGTAATAATAATAATAATAATAATAAAAATTAAAATTTTAAAAAAAGGGAAAAAAGAAAAATCAACGATCCCTTGGCTGTAGCGTTGGCCGCCTCGGCGCGTGCCGGGGAGAGGGCAGCCGCCGTGGCGCCGGTGCCGCCGCCTCGCTTACGAAGGCCTCTGCATGGGGAGATGCTGCGGGGTCCCCGCTGCGTCACGTTACCCCATCGGGATATGTGGAGTATTTGGGAGCAGTAGCGAGGCGAGGCCGGAGCCTAGGCTTGACGGTCCCTCCATCAACGCAGGGGCCCGTCGGCGATGACACAGCGGCTGCGAGGGGAGGAGAGGAGGAGAGAGGCGTGAGCGGGTCCCCACGTGCCGCGATGGAGGATGCAACCGCCACGGTGTCGCTACCAGCCCGAGCTTCAGAGTGAAAGTCAGATGTGACGGTGAGGGGAAGGAGCCTGGACACCTGGGTTCCCCCCTTGGATAATTTTTCTCACATATTCCCATCCCTTGTTCTAGGAGATGCTGCGTGGGTGCTGCCAGGCCACTTGGCCGCCCGCACAGCTCAGGTCCAGCAAATGCACCTCTAATGCTCTTAGGCCAACTAAGCTCTTTGCAAAGGAGCTTTTCACTGGCGGGGGGGAACGCGAGCGCCTGGAGAGCAGCAACATCAACAGAAAAGACCTTGTCCCCCTTTTTCCCAAGCCTGGCACAGATGCCCTCAACCATCCCGGGCTGGACCCGAATGTCCCTCCATGTCCTCTAAAACACCTCAACCTGCAGCGAATATGAGTGCAAGGAGCCTCTGAGGTGAAGACGAGAGAGAAGATGAAGAAGAGCAGCAGCACGTTCCTCACAGGGTGTTTTAACCCACCTAGTGCCTGCAGTGGCCTCCAAAAAGAGGCTGGATCATCGGTGTGCTGTGACGCGTCCGTGCTACCCTCAGCACCAAGCAGCAAGTGCCAGTCTCGCTGCTTCATTAGATCACAAGAGCCAAAAAGTGGGGAAAAAATTGAAGGAAAATAACAATAATAAAGAAAAGGAGCCTCAATTCCTACCGGGATGATGCCAGCAAAGAGGTGACGGAGCCCGCAGGAAGGGATGCGAGGCCACACGTCGTCCCTCTGCGACCCGGCGGGGCGTTACGCGATGGACTCTTGTTTTGAAGCTCGCACCTCTGCTGGGTCACTGGCTGCTTAGTGCCAGGCGGCCACAGCCTCAAAATAGAACATAAGCGCTTAAGTAAAGTGACACGGGTGAGCAAACGCTCAGCTGGGTTTTCTTCCCGCTTAGAGGCGGCGCGTGCATGGTGCTCTCCACACTGGCAGGGCATCTGTGGGACACCCGATGGTGAGGTCCACGTGTGGTGCTGGTGGCAGGGCTTGACATGCATTTTGGCAAGATCTTGAGGTCTTCCAATGCAAAGAAAACCATATGGAGAGAACTGAAATGGCGGGGGGGGGGGGGGGGGGGGGGGGGGGCTGTTTTTGGGGAAATGGGATGGGATGATGTCCTGTACAAGTCCTGGGATAGGATGTGAGCTGAGCACTGACATGTGCTGAGCACCTTTGGAGGAGATACTTCCAAAGGATGGAGGCCACCATCATTCCCTTCCAGAGCTGGCCATCACCCAGAAGGGGTGAAACCCAGCAGGGGTTGGCCAGAGGTCAGCCAGTCTTCTCCATCACTGCAGGACCCCAACGGTGGTGGCTATCTCTTGTGTTGTGGCCTTGTTGATGTTCAAGAATGGGAAAGTCCTATGTTCCTTTCTGGAAAAACTCCCCTTGGTTGTTTTTTAACAGACCCCATCTTGTCTCCAATACTCTTTGAAATCTGCTTGCTCTGTTTAAAGTCCAATAGCTCAGGGTCATGTGGAATGGTAAGCTGCAACAGCAACATGGTGGAGGGGAAGCCCACCTTGGCTGCTGAGATCTTCCTCCCGTTAGCATGCTAATTATTTATTATTTGCACCCCAGCCCTGCAGTGCTGATGGCCGTGATTTGGAGAAGGAGCTTAAAGGGAGCCAGGAGCTTGAATTTCACCCAAATTCAGGGGGGTTTCCCAAAGCTGATCCAGCAGGAGTGAAGAGGAGGATGGAGGTGATGGAAGGCCGCATAGCGATGGCAGCAAGACAGCTATGTGTTTTGTGAACTAGCTCTTTGGATTAATGCATTTCGGCTAGGGCATGTTTGTTTTTATTTTATATTATTTTATATATTTTTTACATTATTTTATATTGTTTTATATTATTTTATATTATTTTATTTTTTAAAAAGTGAGATTAAGAAGCAGAATAATCTGCCCTGGAAGGATGCTCTGCAAACGCAGCAAGCATTGACTGCCCGTTATGAAAGGCCAATGAGAAGCAATGGGGTTTGCAAAAAGTGGGCTGTCATTTCCCACAAGCTCCAATATTCAGTGGAAGCATTTCAAGTATGTTGGCAAATGCACATCCTCCAGCCCATAAACTCTTAATGGGTTTTCAATCACAAATCCTCCCCGGCTACCCGAGCTGCAATGCCGATTCCCATACTAAGTACAGCAAGACCACACAGAAAAGGATGTTGCAGCCAATATTAATAACCTGTCAAGTGAAGAAGGGGGATGACAAGAGACATTTTGCCACTCTGCTACCTTGCCTTTGCCCGCCAACACCCGCTCTGCCACAACCTCCAGTCTCGGCATGGTATACAGCATTTCCCCTTTTTATACTGGTCAGCTCCACGCTCCCCAGCTCTATTCCTAACTACATGGCAAAACCGCTGATCAAATGGTCCAAGAATTTGCCTTTAGTTTTCTTCTGAATTAAACCAAGGCCTAAAATGTGCTACTGAGACCCGTATGAGTATGTTACCTCACCTAGATGAACAAACCAACATCGTTGCAAAGCAAGTCCCTACTTCTTAGGGAAGAGGCCTGCAGCTCCTGCAAGCCCATGACAAAGGACTGTGTCCTTTGCAGGAGCTGTGAAACACTGAGACGGGCAGCTTGGGCAACCCAGACTCTTGCATGAGTCCTCAAGTAAAGCCAGAAATTCTGTGACATTTCAATCCCATATACCATGGGAAGCCCTCTCCTAGAAATTCAAGGATACAAGAAGTTTCATAGCCAAGAACCCAGCAATGATCCAGTGTGAAAGCTCTCCAGCTTGTCAAGAGAGCAATCCAATGGTCTGAGAATAATCTGCACCTTGGAGACAACAGCTTTCCACTGTGCCACCTCCTCCGAGCAGAGCCAGGAGACCGCTTGGCCAGGAAGCCCAAGTGACTTCAATATCTGGCCTCCAGGAGACCCAACCATCCTTGAATTTTCCCCTCATCACAACCTGAGACCTGAGACCTCCTTCACCACTTTCTACAAGATGTTCACAACCATGCAAACAGCTTGCCCTTCAGTTTCTCCAACGGGCAAACCTAAATATCTCAATTCCATCTTAACGGCCTGGCTTGCTTAAATTGAGAGGATCTCCTTGGTTGCCTGAGTTTCTAACCCAGCAGAAGGGACTGCTGTTTCTTCTAGCACCTCTGCGCAAAATAAAGAGCCCAGGTCTTCCTTTTGGAGAGGGACATCCAGAGAGGGACATGTCAAGAGGCAGTGGCTCTTGTCCAGAGAACACCCATCCACTATTAGAGCTTCTTCGTGTGGCGGCAGCCAAAGTTGTTGCGGCAGCAACTTCTCTGGTGCTGATATATTGACTCACGAGAGTCAAAAATGGTGCAGGACACGGATCCTGTGGCCAAAACGGGAAGGAAATCTTTGGCAATGCCAAACTTGCCAGCTACTTTGCTAAAATGGCTGAGATCCAGCGTCGCATGGAGTAGCGGGACACAGGGAGTTGATAAAGGCAGGTCATGCTTTCCTAAACACACTAACTCCTCAAGCGAAGGAAAAGGAAGTTTTGCAGAGCCAAACTCTCACGCCGCATGTTTTTCAGCACTTGCAGCAAAAAGTCTTATTTACCCAAACAGCATGCACTCCCTCGTGTACAAATATAGGTAGCTCCGGAGGGAGCACTTCTAATTTTCAACGCTGGCTTTCAGCGAAGCCTAACAAAACACCAACTTGTGTTATATTTGCTTGACTTCTGGCCTAGTTTCAACCCACACAGCGAGACACCAATCAGCCCTTTGCCCTTACTGGTAATTAAGTGCTTCCCTCTCTCCTCCCAACCCCGGCGCTACCAAAAGCACTTCCACTCTGACATCCCTGAAAACTGTTCGCACACTCCTGAGCTCTCCCAGATGTTCCTCCATGCAGGTTTTGCCTAGTTCCTTCACAGTTCAACTCATGTCGTGGTCCCAGTGGACCATGATTGACATTAGCCGAAGAGGGCAGATGGAAGAGGGATGGGGAGCCTTGGGGGTGATGCCGTCATGAAGCTGACCACGACGCAAGATGGGGTCCAGGACCGCTTGCCCCACATTTGAAAGAGGAAAGCAAAGAACTGAAGACAACGTAACCCCAAAATTTCGTTTTAAAACGTTTAACCGTGACGTGTGTCTCGGAACAAGTCAGGTAAATCCAGAGGGTGCATGACCATGAGGAGGAGATGGAAAGGCACCGCATCCGTTGCAGACCGCAGCGAGGCCCCTGCTGAAGGAAAGCCAACATGCTGCGATTTCCTCCTACTGGTAGTGTGCACGGAAGGAAGCAGGAAGCAAACATGAAAGATCCGGGAGGAGAAAGAAGAAAACAAACCAAAATAAAACAAAACAAAAATATATAGC